ACATACATTTGATATGTATTCTATACTGTGCATAGCAATGTATAAGCATGTACGTCAAATATGCTTACACAGAATTAGGACTTGTTGACCGCTACCCTTTCATGTTTTTTTTATGAATTATATATAAGCCTTCCAACATTGGTTACTAGACAGACTAACAGTGAAATGTCACTAAACATCATACCAATTAGAATTATGTTTGCCTCAAGTAAAAAAACAAGTACCGGTATATATATTTTTTTTTAAATTGTCTTGGTGATCCAAAATATTATACTTTTATTAATTGAAAAATCTATGACTGAGAAATTATGTATGACCTCCAAATCATTAAGGTTGGTCTTTACTTTTAGCCGCTGAGAATATTTTATGTGTGTAGAGCATCTCTGACTGTCAGCCATTTTGTTTAATATTTTGACATAGACTGATGCATAAGAGTTGTCTTGCAGTCTAAGACATTTAGTTGACACCATAGAACTGAAACGAAACATGTACTTGTTCTTGAAGAGGGAGTGAAGGAATGCTGACAGTTCTTTTGTCAAAAAATAGACTGGGCAGTTTAAACCTGAATGCATGTCTGACACAAACAAACAGCTCTGTGTATCTAAAAGGACAGTTAGAGAACCAATACAAATCTGTTGACCAAAATGTTATAAGTTGTAAACATGGACCTTACTAATCACACAGATAAATTAACTTTCGATTCAATTTTGACAGGTTCAAGTTTCAATTGAGTAATACCAAATGTGTCTGTAAAGTATGGTGCCAAGGTTATATTAAGTGCACTTTTAATAGAACAAATATGGTATATGTAATAATGCTATAAATTTAAATATGAGCAACATTAATCAATTGCAAATGTATTTTTTTAATAATCTGTGTTTGAGTATAATTTTATTTATGGAATGGATATTTTAGCATAATAATGAATTGTCTGTATTTTTTATGATCTTTCATTGTATGCCATAAAATCAATGCATTTTATTAATGTCTGATTGAATTATTTTTGATATAAATGTGAATATATCACGCCATTCAAAACATAGTACATTCTGAGGTGAATAATCATGTTATCATCCACAGAAAGATAAATTAAACATCAGAAAAATATTACGAGGTCATTACGTGATACCACTTGTTTGCTAGAGCAGGTTGATACAACATAGCGTGACAAGGTCGCACGAGTTGCGCCCTTCATGGTGCTCCAAACCCAATACAATTGTTAGTGGGGTCTGATGCTCTTCGGCTGACGAGGGCGCCACTCACGCCACAACAAGATATTTTAGGGTGAATTTTACTGAACTAGTTACTAACCATATCAGTGTGCACACATTTGCAGTTATCGGTATTGATGATTGACAGAAATATTACCTTTTGCAGATACCTTTTTGTAACAAACTATCAGCTGACACTATTACAAGTTAGTGTCACTGAACAACTAGAGTAATTCTTATCCAATCTGAAATTTATCATCTCTGCATTCTTCTGCAGTGAATATGGGTACACACGCTATCTGTTTTTCTCTGCATATTGTTCAAACGTTCATAAAGTAACTTTTAACCTGAATATCGCGATGTACCAAATCAGCTAAGCAGTATTTCACACTAAAACAAACCAACATGCTCTGTAACAGAACTGAGAATCCCAAATCAAAATGGAATCCCAAATAATCAAGAGGTTGATCTTCAGGAAAAAAAAATATATGTATGCAATACTTCAGGCATACACAGAAATGTTGTCTTGATTATTTTGTTTTTAAAATGTGAATATCATTTTACCAAATTACAAAACTATAGTAAAATGTTTTTCAAGATTTGTTAGTGACACACCAGTGAATTAGCATAATGAGTTTTCAGAATATCTTTGTGTCAATGACAGGCCATATCTGCTGAGATGATGCTGCTTTCAAAAATTCAGTATACAACAAATGCAAGATTTCAGTGATACTTAGATGCATTGTGATAATATCCAGATAAAATTTTTGCTTGACATCTGTGAATATTAATTACCTAATTTGGCAATATTCTCCATTTTTAGCATTTTCACCATAAAACAAAATGGTGCGATAAGTAATTATGAATCAGATATGCCAAATCAGACCATACATAATGTTATATGTGATTTTTTAAACAAAAGTTATGACCGATAGAAACCTTTCATTTCAGGTGCGAAATTTATAAATATTTATTAATTTACTATACTGAGGAATGATCACTGAAAATTACCAGTACAAACATCACATATTTTTTAATTTTGAGCTTTGTTAGAGTAAATTGAGTTATCACTTGGTCATGTGACAAACCGACATAGCGTTGTTATCATAGAGGAACGAACAGATGAACGCTGGTAACCACTATATTCCATGGGATAATATTCAAGCTGTACAAGTAGCATCTCTGCTGCATGTCGGTCGCTGCATTCACCGCACTGACTATATGCATAAGTTACAGTATCCTCGCATTAAAAAGACAATTTGTAAGATCATATTGTAGTTTATTGTATATACATCTAAACTATATGAATGATAAAACATGGAAATATATTTACAAAATGGTGTCGGCAATTGTCACTTTCAAAGCAATGGTTTAATTTACGATAGAAAAAAAACTATGAATTGACATTGCATTAGCAACAACCTATTTTAAAAAAAAAATAAAAGGAATGCTGTAGATGAAAGTGTGTTAAGCCTCTGTGATTAAATCTTCTGTTGACAGCACACTGGTTGAGTCTCTACTTTCAGTGGTATCCCGATGCTTTGATGTTTTCTTTTTTTTACTTTGCGTGTTCTTTTTCCGTGATTTTCCATCTCCTTTGGTATTCAACAACGGATGAATTTCTGGTGAAATTGAAAAGAGGTTTGTATTTTCAATTATATTTTGAAAAGTATTGTTATATAATGTGTAACTCGTATCAAAATTGAACTTCACACCAATAGACTATTTTCTGCTCCCTGCAAGATCCTGTGTTATGTGTGCAAGCAAACGTAAAAACAGAACAAACAAAGGTCATAGTGTTTCAACAAATGCAAAACTTTTTTTGGGTATTTCCACGCTTATGCTGTTACTTTATCAATATTAATCACCATCAAATGTGTAATCTCAAATATGACATCAAAGTTTAATGATGACCAGTTATTCAAATCATAGAAAAATTATTCATAATAACAATAATGAGAACAGTGACACTGGAAATGAAATGACTACTGGTACTAACCATCTAATGGAGCACCTTCCATTTCAATCTCGACTGTTTTGACCTTTTTCTTCTTGGGTGAAGGCGAAGCTAAATCACCACTTCGTTTTTGTTGGTGCTGCTGCTGCTGCTGTTGTTGTTGTGATGTGAGGCTGGCTTCATCAGTCTGTAATAATAGCAATTATAGTGAAACCTGCATTAGTGACAAATTTTATGTACACGTAAAGACCACTTGACCTCAATGACATCATTAGACAGTACCTACATGTAAAGTATAGGAATGCCACATGTTTAATGTGACAATCGCTTTTTTTAATGCTTTGGTCATGCAGCTCTTTGTACATCTTGTATAATGCCCATGATTAAGTAAGATAATTGCACATGTCTCCAAGGACATCATAATAAAGACAAACATCCTTATTCTCAAGTTCAAATGTGATTAACAAAATTTATTATTAAAACTCAAAATCTATATAATGTAAACCGTATACACATATTTAAGATTCACAGTCAATTTGTCCCAATCCACGTTCGTCCCACGAATCAATTCATTCCAATTCATTTTCCTCCAAATTCACATTCTTCCCAGGACACTTTTGTTCCTTACGATCTCGTGCAGGGCAATGTCGATTTCCATGTTGGTGTGTAGGGAGTTGTCAATTTCTTTGTAGTACCAAGCTAGTACCTGGAATTGGTTGAATCCCCTTTGGGACAAATATACTTATGGGATGAATCGACTTAGGACGATTCAACGTGGAATGCAACAACGTGGGACGAATGTGATTTGGGATGACCATCCACCATATTTAACTACCAGTACTATAACAATGTACAAATGTTGCATATATTTCAGTTTTTGTCATTTTAGACTGTTTTTTTTTGTCATGTTGGCAAATACTTTTAAAGACAATACTCACAGGATCAGCTGTTGCTGGACCCCATCCCCCTTCAGGTTCATCCACCTCTGGTGATATTGGTAAATATAATAGTGCATTTTTGTCTTCATCGTCCTCATCACTATATCATGGAAAGAAACTTATGTTTAATTTAAAGAAGACAATGTTATACATGGTAGTAAATAAAGGGCAGTAGTCGTCGCGCCATGCATGTGCCAGATATGGGTCTCATACATGTATAAACAAAGATGGAGACTTTGACTGTTGCACACACCAACTAGTACAAACTGAGAGGTTACAAAGGTATCAATGGAGTCACAGGCAGTAATTAGTACAAGTGACACCTAGGGCAAAACTCATACACATGATTTCATTAGAAACGTGCATTGGATTGTGGGAAAATCGTTGTTTATCAACACAAATGTCGCACATGCGCGGTGCGACGACTACCGCCCTTAAACATACTGAAAATCTATTGTATTTTAGACATGGCATTTCAGTAGCAATGACCAAGCGTGGTAAGAGAACACTGAGAATAAACACTGACTTTATCTCTGCAATATATCTGATACAATAAGGTCAATAGCAAAAACACATGTGTTTCACAATTGCTAATTTTTGTCTTTTATGAATTTTATCAAGTTGTAATAGAACAATGTAAGAAATATTGTCTGAATGAGTTAAAAAATGTAATCATACACCTCACGAGACGACTCTACCAAGAGGTCACGAATTTGACCTCAAGAAAATAGATACTGTAAACAAGGAAAAAATGAATTTTATTGTTATTTTACATATTCACGCAGATTTAATTTTGCGGATTTGACTTAACGAAATTAAAACCCAATGATTGATTAATGCATTTACAGTACATCTTATTAGCATACGACAACAACATAAAACAAAATGGCGATATCACATATTGCCACAGAGGGCGCAATTTAAAATACTGTAAAACACTTTGAAATAGCTACATATCATTTTAGATAATTTGACTCAATGCATGAATTAACTGAATCTTAATTTAGCTAAAGTGCCAATAATCTTACCGTGAAAATATACTCTATTCTAATTAGCGACATCTTAATTTAGCGAAATTGTGGATTAGCTAGATTAGCTAAAAAGACATGTTTCGCAGTACTCTCTCTAAACAGGATCTGCCAAGGTACAGTATAGTGATGACACAATGGTCAAATAAGCGTAAATTGACTTGCAAAGATGAAAATGAACCCACCTACTAACAAACGCCACAATAGAATCAACTGTTGTAACATCCACTTCTTCATCTTCTAGCGTATTAGAATCTAATTATAAAAATATATTGTTAATAAACAAATAGAAATGTAACACAGGTAATAAATCATCATTAGAACGGTTTGTTGTCACACATGGCAGTCTGATATTTAGTATATTAAGTTTGCACTTCCATGCATGCACACTTTTCTGCAAAAACATGACAAACTTTGTATGCAGATCAAATATGGGGCTAATCTGCACTGGCTCGGAAGGTTGTAAATGATTAGCTAGTTTGAATTTGCATAACAATACTGACAATGAACGTGCATTCAACGCCACAAGTTTTTTTGTTTTTTTAGCCAATCAGAATTCATCTTCCGAGCCAGTGCAGATCAGCCGCAAATATGGTAACCCCTGTATAATTGAAATTAGTATGAATGCCGATCAGATGAACAGATGCATTGTATTTGAAATACAAAGAGAAGTGTTACCAGTTCCCTGCCTGCTATAGAACTGAGCAATAGCCAGAGCATGTAAAATGCCTGTCTATAATCTATATTGAAATGCAAGATGATATTTTTTGCTCTGTAGAGACTTACATGTAGTCTATTTCGGTTGATTATTTATAATTATTTTGTAAAAATCAAAAGTTAACAGGTTTGTAGAAATTTAGCCTGTCAAATCAAATTTTGTGTGTAAGATGACATACAGACAGATGGCTGGCTGAACGCCTGCTAAGCAATGCAATGGATAGTGGAGGTCGAATTTATAACTCCATATTCATGAGCTTGTTATGCAGAAGTTGAATAGACAATTATGTTGCAAGATACGTTGTCCCCCTTAATTGTTTGTGTATGAATGAGTTGAAAACATTTCACATATCTAGACAAACATTTCATAAACTTAGATAACATAGTTGCCTACAATACAAAATGCTTGGTACAAAACTGAAGCTGGTATTTTAAAATATTCGTCTAATACTGCACATTACTGCTGACAGTAAGTACAGTAGATCGACATCAACTAACCGCCTTCATGCATATGGTAGTAAAACAACCATTAATGTATGGTACATGTACCACCGCTATGATACCCTGACATTGTCTTACCAACAGGATCCTCTACTGATTTGTCTTCATCTTCAATGTCAAATTCACTTTCTCTTTCTTCATACTCTACATTTTCATCTAACTCTTTAAAATCAGGAGCAAAAGCACTCCAATTTTCCTGAAAATCAATGATACAGACAGCAACAATCAAAGTTAAAGCGGGGGTGTCGCCACCTGCGCATGTGTCAGATGGCCATAGCGTGTCAATGATACAGACAGCAACACACAAAGTTAAAGCGGGGGAGTCGTCACCTGCGCATGCGTCAGATGGCCATAGCGTGTCAATGATACAGACAACAACAATCAAAGTTAAAGCAGGGGTGTCGCCACCTGCGCATGCGTCAGATGGGCATAGCGTGTAATTAACAAGCGTCTACCCATGAGCCTTTGCATTTTTAGCGTGTTTGCTATCGTCGATTGGGACTCAATTCCAGCGCATGCGACAACCCTCCCGCTTTAAGATGACCTTACAAAAGTACCCAACGATACAGACAACAGTTACCACACAAATTTGAGATGTCCTCAACAAAGAAGCCAATGATATGAAGACCAGTCACCATATGCAGACTTAGTATAAACATACTTACTACTTGGTTCTGTGCCCATACTGATACCACACCACTAGATACTGAGGCTATAATGGGTCTAACAGGATGCCATACAACATCTAATAATAATTCTCCTCGTGTACCATGTAATATTTTCACCAAATTTCCAATACTTTTTTCCCATATATACAAAGCGTGTTGTCGTGCCGACCCTACAATACATTGATAAATGTAGCAGTAAATAGTACAAATATGAACTTAACTGTATGCTGTAAAATTTCTCTATTTCTGTTGTAAATTATTCAGAAAAGACAGGAACAAAACCAAGGTTAGCCATAGATCCTTGGTGTTGAGAGTCATCAGTCATCGGATAACCACTAACATACCACTATGCATTCTGCTATAGCACAATTGGTTAGATGTACGTATAATTCATGTACATGTATATTGTTTTGGACCAAAAACTAGATTTATCTGTAAAAATAGCAATTGTATCAATTTTCAGCAATGTGGTTAAATTTAAGTTAGATTATTGCTTCTATACGCAAGCATATTTCAAGAGTTCTGTCTTACACATTCTGTCACAGAGTCCCTGGTGGTGTTTGATTAGACAGTCAATGACTGTATTGCCATGGATCCACGACTACACCCAGGACTGACAGTTTAAACATCACTTTCAACTAGATTACACTCAAGCGGTTTTACCTGCAACTATGTATTCTCCATCACCAGAGAAGCAACATTTCTTCCATGGTGTCCTATTGACTAAATCTTGTAATTTTTGTATTGGTTCTGGTTCACCATCTTTACCACATGCCAACACTTCACCACTCTCATACACACGGATTATTCGGTCAGCAGAATTAACTAAAAAACAACTAAAAATACAAAAACAATTATTGTATTTGCTCTATTAGAAGTGTACCGGTATGTGTTCAAAGCAGATGTCACCTTTTCACAATCAAATGTTAGACTACTGATACTTGTCAGACACAGTGCAATAATTGTTCCCATACACACCCCTGTCATTTACTTAAGCAAATGCACCACTAATATGGTAAATATGGTAAATGCATCTTATGGTTATGCTTCTAACAGAATATTGAATTGTTG